CCACAATTTAAAATTAATGAATTGTATGTTTCTGGAACTTGCCATTTAATATTTTCAAACCAGTTGACCACAGGTAGCTGAAGCTGTGGGAAGCGAAACTCTAGGTGAGGGGGGACTACCGTATCACAATTTTGAAAATAGCACACTAAAAAAAGGGCAAAAACTGGTTTGGATACAGTTATTTTTAGATAAACATGTCACGAGACAAGATGTGACATTGCAAGCTTGCTCTGTTACGTAGACATATGCTGGCTTAGCTGAAGCAGGGTAGTTATCAGACATTTAAAACTGGGGAGTGAGTTGTTTTCCTTCCCAGGGAAAATACATCACACCTAGACTTAAGTACCTGTACACGGGAATTACTTCCCTGTCCACCCCACTGCTCAAAAGGGCCTCACAGCCTTGGCTTATTCAGCAAACACCTTTTTGGGACTAAACAGTGAATCACCAACTATATGTCAAAACTAAATCCTTTCACAAAACATGACAAGCTGGCTGCAGCTATAGTGAAGTTTTCTGGATAAGTAGTCGGTTGTGGGTATTATGAATCACTTGAGACTCAGTTCATTTACATGTGATAAAAACTGTGATGTTCTTGGTGAAATGAAAAACCAAACCATTAGTCTTCTCTGTTCACTGGGAAAGCCTTTGTGTAGAGCCCTGCGATGGAAAGAGTCCACCCAGTAGAAATCAAAACCTGCCCAATAAAAGTGAAATGATGTCTCAGCAAAAAGACACTGATGGAAATCTCCAGCATCTTAGCCTGACCACATTGTACCACACCAACTTTTAGGCAACAGCATGAATGACTCTCTCCAGTTGCCTTGGGAGAGCCGTCACGTATTGAGTGCTTACTGTATACATATCTCCAAAGACTTGTTCTGAGTATTTTTACATGTTCCATCCACTTAACCTTTACGGTAGCAGTGATGTACTGATGGGTTCTATTATTATCAATACTTATCTGCAGATAATTATTGCAGAGGAAACTGGGACTCAGAGAGATTAAGGACTAGCCAGAGGTCATCCAGCAGATGGCAGAGGCAAGATACGGACACAGGCAGCCTGACTCCGGAGCTCGGTTACTCACCATCCCATAGTGCAACTTGGGGGAACTGCCATTTGTATATTTGTAAGTTTGAGTTCTAAAAATATACCAAGAGTAAAATGAGAAATCACTAATTTTGATGTGCAAAATCAGTTATTTTCCAATTCAGCTGATTTTCCAAAATTGATATTCTCACTACGCCAGCTTGACCATTACAAAAGATGTAGGTACCGATTTGTACCTCTTAATCCCTTCACCTTTTTCACCTACCTTCCCCAACCCTCCCATCTGGCAACCATCAGTTTGTTCCCTGGGTCACTTCAGAAATTATATAAATGTCTAACCACTACGTTGTACACATGAAATTAATATAAAATAATATTGGATGTCAACTGTAATTGATAAATAAAAAAAAAGAAAGATGTAGGAACATTCTTTTTCTTCCAAAGTTAGGAAATATAAAACAATTACTCTTATATTTATGCATTACAGTATGGTGGAATATTATTCAGCCATGATAAAAAAAAAGGAAATCCTGTCATTTATGGCAACATGGAGGCACCTTGAGGGCATCATGCTGAGTGAGATAAAGCGGACAGAGAAAGACAAATACTGTGTGATCTCACTTATATGTGGAATCTAAAAAAGGTGAACTAATAGAAATGTAGAGTGGTGGTTACCAGGGGATGGGGGTGAGGAAAAAGGTCTGAAACTGGTCAAAGGGTACAAATTTGCAGTTAGAAGCTGAATAAGTTCTGGAGATGTATTGCACAGCATTGTGACTATAGTTAAGACTGTATTATATACTTCAAAGTTGCTAAGAGACGAGATCTGAAATAGTCTCATCACAAAAAAAAAATCATAAATATGTGATATGGTATTTGTGGTGTTAGATAAACTACAGTGTAATCACATTTTGGGGGGACACCCTATATATATGAGTCCTGAATTCAGAAAAATATCCCCTTTATTGGATTCTAAGTTTGAGAATTTTGAACAGAAAACTGGTAGGTCCAGTAAAAATTCCAACAAGTTAAATAAATAAATGATAGAGAATAGAATTCTTAGGACGGGGTACTGTGGCCATCCAAAATTTGGAAGTGAGGGAGATAAAAAAGAAATAACAAAATAGACTAGGAAGTGACTAGTGAGATTGAAAGCAAACATGACTGTGGTACCCAGGAAGGCCAGAGAAGGAAATGTTTCAGACGTTGGAATGATCACGGTGTCCACTGCTGATAGGCCCAGAGAATTATGATTAAATGACTCAGATGGAACAACATGGGGACATTGTGATGTATACAAAAAAAATGTCAGTGGAGGGATGGGGCACCTGTCCTATTTCCCAAATTTATGAAGTCAACTTTATTTCTAGACTGTTTCTTAATTAATGACTAGCTGATTTTACTTCAGCTAGTCATTAAGTCCAGCATCATAATTTATCAATTTCAGCACAGTTGCTATATCCCACCCCTTCCCCCTGATTTTGTTTTCTTATGACCGAAGTAAGTTCCAGCAAGGATTTGAGTAATAAACTCAGTTTATATGTCATAAATCATCTTCACTCTTGAATTTGTGTTTAGCTAAATATAAAATTGTAGGTGATGGCTTTTCCCCCTTGGCACATGGAAAACATTACCCCCTTGCCCTTTGTCTTCTGGCATCTAACATTGCTCATGAAGGCTGCTGTGAGTACACACTACTCCTCTGTGGGTAATACGTCAGCCTATTTCTTTATCTCAGAGTTCTGTGCTTCTATTACAATGCATGTAAGGGTGGATCGACTTGTATTTTTTATTTTATTAATTCTGTGCAGCACATCCTGTGCTTTTCCAACGCGAGGCTTTGTTCCATTTTGTTTTCTTCCAATTCTGGAAAGTTCTCAGCCAACTTCCCAGAAAATAAGACTTCTCTGATAATCCGTTAATTTTCTCCTTATGATAAAAATCTTATTGGACATATATTGGAGACTTTCGATGCTACTGCTGTACACATCCCCTTGATGTTTCATCTTTGTATGTTTTTGCTGAATTCTGGGCACAGTCCTTTGGCAACAGCACTTATCCTCTCTGGGAAGATATTATTCCATCTGAGTCTTTTAATGGCTGTGTGTTTTTGTTTTTACGTTTCTGTTGTTCGTTCTGTCTCTCCATGTCTCCTGCTTGCCTGTATTTGTTTTTATAATCGACTGTTCTCTTACATGAATGCGCCAAATGTTCTCATAGTCTTTCCTTTATCACATTGTTTACCTTAAACATATGCTTGTTAAACTAATTGTGGAAGGTTCTGTTTCTCGTATTTGATCAGGAGCGTGTTCATCTCCTGGTTGTTGAGTCGGCTCTCTATTTTTCAGTGTTATTTGGATTTTCTGCTTTCAGGCAACACATCGAGGGAGAGGCCTGTTCCTCACACTCACTCACCCTTCATAATGTAATGCTTTTCTCTTGTCTCCACTAGTCCCTCGTTACCCTCAGCCCCACAGTAGCTCTTTCATCAGCTTCTCAGGAGTCCCTCCCATCCAGCCATGGCTCTGGGCTCGTCTCTGACCATGTCGCTGAGCCTTGGGGTGCACGGCCTAGGGCGGTCTTGGATGGCTTTGGCTGCACCCTCTCCTTCCTTGAATGGTACGGAGGGTGTTCTCAGCATCCTTTTATGAGTAGCGGGACCACCGCCCTGCCTTTATGCGGGTGCCCTGGCGTCCGTTCTCCCACTGCTCACGGTGGAGCATTTCATACCCCACTGGCCTATGTGACCTTTGCAACTTCTGTTCCCACACTCGAGTTGCAAAGTGACTGTGGCTTTAGCCCCCATGTAGCGATTTTCCGGTCTCTTTCTGGTCTAAAGAGATGCTCTTGTTTTCACAAATATAGTATTTTTTTAAAAGTATTTATCATCTATCATTGTACTTAGAACTAAAAATATAATTTTTAAAGCATGAGCTCACAATACCAGAATAATCTGAAGTACTTTGTGTGTTTAATAGGTATTGCTCTCAGTTATACATATGACCACATATGTATGTGATTTACATACATCTTGTATTTTTGAAAAACATCATTCAGTAGAATTCATTCCTTTTTCAAAGAGGTCATGATAAATTTGATATTATTCTACTAAAACAAAACTTTATTTTTTATCTTCAACAAAGCCGTAGATCAGGGTTGGGCGTATAAATAGAAAACAGTTCCTTTGGTCTGATTTGTGAGGTCACAGGTAGAGAATCTTGTTCCCCAATAGTTTTCTTATCTGCCATGATATATAACATAAATTCTACCAAAGTAATTCTCCTTGATTGGATGCTTTTTATCTTTTCACAATTCTCTACTAAATGAACATAAATCTGGGTGCTGGAGGGAAAGGAGTGGGTGCCTTTGCTACAAGGTTACATAACTGAGCATGAGGCATGTTGCCAATAGTATTGAGATTAGCCCATGGAGGGAGCACCGGGAGTGCCCAAAAGGAGGTCGGGTGATTTAAAAAAGGTAAGAGAGGAGCACCAAAAACAAACTTGCTCTTCCTCACACTGTTACGTAATTAAAAACCTTGCAGCGATGATTTATGGAGCTCAGTGAACCTTACTGTAAACATCAGTGGGGAAACGAGAACTGCACGCCCCCTATAATCATTGAAAGGTGTTCACAAAGGAAAACAGATGGAATCGCTGAGTAAAGAAGGAAGTTAAAAATACATTTTCAGACTTGTATTTACCTTACCAACTGATCTGATTGTGTGGCGATATTGTTACTATAATTTTGTGCAGCAGATAATGATAGAAGTCTGTCCCCAAAGCTGTTAGGAGAATTTTTAATTTGATGGCCAAGGCCTGTTTGTTTGCACCTTTCCTAAATGGTCTTCCCGCCCCCACCCTTTAATGAAATCATGCCCCCTTCAGCACAGCAACTTATCTTTACTGCGATGTTTTTTATACTTTATGTTTCCTCTCTCCTTCCAGCCAGTCCGGCACTGCGGTAGCTGAAATGCGAAAAAGGCAGCAGTCACAGAATGAAGGAACACCTGCCGTGTCCCAAGCACCTGGGAACCAGAGGCCCAACAACACATGTTGCTTTTGTTGGTGCTGTTGTTGCAGCTGCTCCTGGTATGTCCTGTTACCTGTAAGATACCACACCTGAGCTGGGTAATAACGAGAGCAAACATGATGTCAGCTCCTAGGGCCATGCGAACTTCTCAGTCTATAGGCCGTGAGAACTTCTCAGTCTATAGGGCCATGAGAACTTCTCAATCTGTAGGGTCATGGGAACTTCTAAGTCTATAGGGCCATGAGAACTTCTCAGTCTATAGGGCCATGAGAACTTCTCAATCTGTAGGGCCATGAGAACTTCTCAATCTGTAGGGTCATGGGAACTTCTCAGTCTATAGGGCCATGCGAACTTCTCAGTCTATAGGCCATGAGAACTTCTCAGTCTATAGGGCCATGAGAACTTCTCAGTCTATAAGGCCATGAGAACTTCTCAGTCTATAGGGCCATGAGAACTTCTCAGTCTATAGGGCCATGAGAACTTCTCAGTCTATAGGGCCATGAGAACTTCTCAGTCTATAGGGCCATGAGAACTTCTCAGTCTATAGGGCCATGAGAACTTCTCAGTCTATAGGGCCATGAGAACTTCTCAGTCTATAGGGCCATGAGAACTTCTCAGTCTATAGGGCCATGAGAACTTCTCAGTCTATAGGGCCATGAGAACTTCTCAGTCTATAGGGCCATGAGAACTTCTCAGTCTATAGGGCCATGAGAACTTCTCAGTCTATAGGGCCATGAGAACTTCTCAGTCTATAGGGCCATGAGAACTTCTCAGTCTATAGGGCCATGAGAACTTCTCAGTCTATAGGGCCATGAGAACTTCTCAGTCTATAGGGCCATGAGAACTTCTCAGTCTATAGGGCCATGAGAACTTCTCAGTCTATAGGGCCATGAGAACTTCTCAGTCTATAGGGCCATGAGAACTTCTCAGTCTATAGGGCCATGAGAACTTCTCAGTCTATAGGGCCATGAGAACTTCTCAGTCTGTAGGGCCATGGGAACTTCTCAGTCTGTAGGGTCATGCAAAGTTCTCAATCTGTAGGGTCATGCAAACTTCTCAGCCTGTCTGTTTCTTCCTTTAAAAGTAGGAATTATTGGAGAACATCATTGACTTAATGCAAACATATCCAGACATAAATATACTTCCTCAGAATGTATATTTAAATTGATAGTAAACAATGAAAAATTATTTTATATCATGCTTTGCTTCATCCATGCTTCCTAAAGATATGGGTAAAAATAGGGGTATGGTTATATGTTTATTTAACAATGAACAATATTCTCCAATGTGACAGAAGGTGCAGGAACATGAAGGTAATATCTAGTAGTACTGTGTGTAGTAGTCAGCGCTGTGTTTTAGCTACACACTATTTCATAGAGTCGCAGAGTCAGAAAACTGTGAGTCAGGGTGGCAGCCTCAGCCTCGGAGTCCTGGCAAAGGCAGAAAAAAGAAGTGCCACAGACTCACGATGACAGATCTGAGGGCCAGAGGCCGTGATGGGAATGAAGGCCAAGTCCCTTAATGAAAAACTGTGAACTCAGAGCCAGGGAATCTGCTTTCCTTTGCGGTTTTTATCACTGACTGGCTCCGTGACCTTCAAGTTGTAATCTCTGTTTCTTGGCCGCCTCGTTGGCACAGTGATGAAGAGTTGTACAAGCTGATTCCCAGGGTCCTGTCTAGCGCTAAGTGCCCATGATTCAGGCCCTCAGAAAACCTGCTCCAGTTCCACATTCCCAAAGTGCCTTCAGATGGGAAAAGCAGTAAGACCCAGAGTCCCAAGGTATAGCAGTTGTGATTTCTCAGGGGGATGTTATGCTGATGGAACTTTCTGTAGGACCGTGCATTTTGGGCTCCTCTAAGATCCAACTCGCCAGTGGGCCTCCTGGGTTAGCAGTGGTTTCCTGGATCTCCCTGGCCTGTTTCAAAACCCTAGAGAAAGGCCCCAACGCTTGTATGATCTCCACTGTTTCCCAGCATCCGTTAAGGTGGTTGTTACCATATGGTGGCATAATGTTCTGTCATTGTGGCCAAAACAGAAGATGAGACGTGTCCCTGTGCAGCGGTAAACTAGGTGTTGAACAGGCTCCGACCCTCTAGAAAACTTCACGTCCAGAAAACCATCAGATAGTGTAGCAACTTGGAAGGTTTAAGTAGTTTTTATAAATATCACAATTGCTTTCCAGATGACGGTGCTTCGTTAGGGAGAGTCCTTTGATTCTTTTTCTTTTCTTGTTTTGCTTTTTTTAAATTTAATTTAATTGTTGACATTATTACAAATATTTCCCATTTCCTCCCCTTTTTAAAAAATGTATCTTTATTGTTGAAAGTATTACAGATGTTCCCC